AGCATCATAAGGTCAAGCCTAATTATGCTAAGAGGACTGTGCCCTCTAAGCTGGGACTTGTTTGTGACTTTGCCAACAGGTCAGTCTGACGCTTAACCCTATATCGGCTCCCCACACCAAATGAATGCATACATGGTTTCTTAGCCTTTCTGAAAAGTTGAAAATGGTTTGCGCCCCCCGCCCCACCGCCTTTTTTTTTTTTTTAAATATATATATCGTAGACCTACACATCCCACATCGGGAACTCCGGACTTCACAACAGCTCCATATCCCCATTTTATAAATGAGGACACTAAGAACCAAGGAGGGAAAAAGCCTTGCCAAAGACCACAGACTTTGGAAGTAGTGTGGCTGGGACTTGTTCCCACTGCAGCCTCCTATGCTAACATTCTGTGACCCAAATGAGAAAGTTAAAACGCTTGCATGGATAGTCTTATATCGAACTGCAATCTTTGTCTTCTTTAAAATGCCCATTCTGTGGAGCTTTACAGCATAAGTATAACCCCCTTCTGTTCAGATGTGCCTTCCCATAGCTGAAGCCAAGCATGGCTTTCCTAAATTCTCTCTACGGGGTTATTCTTTGTACGAAAATACAGTCGTGAGCTTCCTAAAGGTGGCGCTAATGATTCTCTGACTCTTGTACCCCCAGGCATCCGCAGTGGTGAAGCTGAACGTGGGGGGCGAGCTCTTCACCACTACTCTGGGCACACTGAGAAAAATTCCGGGTTCAAAGCTGGCAGGTATGTTCTGCACCTTAGCCAAGGCCTCCACCAGTAAGGATGAGGAGGGCCGATTCTTCATCGATCGCCCCGGCACCTATTTCGGAGCCATCCTGGACTACCTGCGCAGCGGGCAGATGCCCAAGCAGCACATCCCCGAGGTGTACCGTGAGGCTCAGTTCTTCGAAATCACGCCTTTAGTCAAGCTGCTGGAGGACACGCCGCAGATCTTTGGTGAGCAGGTGGCTCGGAAGCAGTTCTTGTTGCGGGTGCCAAGTTACAGCGAGAACCTGGAGCTCATGGTGCGCCTGGCGCGTGCCGAGGCCATGGCCGCGCGTTACTCCAACGTGCTGGTGTGTGTGGTGCACACGGAAGGGGATGCGGCACACTGCGAGGAATCCCTGCGAGTCCTGGAGGCGACCAAGAGGTTGGTCGTCAAATTCGGGCCTTGGAAGGCGGCCCCGGTCATCAGGGACCTCTTGGACTCCGTGCAGATGGACATTGAGGCTCAGGGGTACCAGGTAGCCTATGACTACTGCTCCAAGAAGACATTTCAGCCTAAGGCAAATGCCCACGAATACTTCTATACGTTCCGATTCACCTGGTGGTGATTCTCAGGGGGCGGGGCTGTTTATTATGGGCTCTGGTGGGGCTTATGAAATTAAAAGTTGCCTTCAAAAATAATCTTTAATTTCAAAAATACTGTAAACAACTTCCAAGATGATCTGCAAAGCTTACTCCCAAATATTTATGTCCCTCCGTGAAGACATTCCACTCATTGCAACTGACTCCACTGTACTTGCCTAGTGAAGTGCAGCTGTTCTCTCTTTAAAGCCTCACATACCTGCCAGACCCTTCCCTTGAAGTCGGATAGCAAGGCTGAGTTGGAATGTTTCAAAAATGTTTTGGCTGGAGATTCGGGGTATCAACAAGAATATAACAGGATATGAATCTAGATCAGTGGTTCTCAACCTTGGCTGCACATTAGAATCACCTGGGAATCTTTTTAAAATCCTGATTTCCGGGCCTCATCCTCCGGAAATTCTGTTTCTTTGTTACTAATGTTGTGGCCCCACCCCATAACAAAGAAACAGAATTTCCGGAGGATGAGGCCCGGAAATCAGGATTTTAAAAAGATTCCCAGGTGATTCTAATGTGCAGCCAAGGTTGAGAACCACTGATCTAGATAGTCTGACCTAAACACATGATTTACCCAGCTTCAGCCTGCGGGCCAATCCTCTGGCCCAGGTGTGTGCCTTCATGACGAGGAAGATGCCAAGTTAGTACCTGTAGTAGATGCCACTCAGCTCTTCTTTCCCAGATCTGTGTTGGTTGCTAAAGCCTCACAGCTGTCCTGTCTCTAGAACAGTGGTTCTCAAAGTGTGGTCTCTGCAGCATCAGCGACCTTTGGAACTTTTTAGAAATACAAATTCTCTGTCCTCCACTTCAGCCTACTGAATCAGAAACTCGGGGTTGGCCCAGCAGTCTGCTTTAACAAGTCCTCCAGGCGGTTCTGATGCATTCTAATTGAGACCTGCTCTAGAAGAGAATTGCTCTTATTTGTGAGGTTCTCCCTTACCTCAAGGAGGAACCAACTCTGGTACAGTTCCTGTTCCAGAGCTCCTTGTGGGATCCAACTGAAGTCAATCTTCATCTAATACCACATTTTTGCTTAGCATTTTTCCTCTGCTCTATCCTGCTTCCCTCACTGCCCTTCCTGAGAGCACATCAGCAATAAACCACTTACACAAAGACTCTGTTTCAGGTTCTGCTTGTCAATGTTAAAACATAACTCTAAGGAGGACACATGTAGATATTCATCCTTCTCCAAGACCAGGTCACCCTGCTTAGAAGGATGACCAGCCATCCTGGATTCCTCAGGACTGAAGGTCAACTGTAAACCAGTTAAAGGTTTAAAAAATTAATAGTGAGTCAGGGAGTTTCAAATTCAAACATAAAATTGCTCAGAACAAAGTCATTGCCCAGACAGCGTGGCTCTGTAGTTGAGCATCGACTATGAACCAGGTCACTGTTCGATTCCCGGTTAGGACATATGCCTGGGTTTCCGGCTTGATCCCCAGTATTCGGTGTGCAGGAGGCAGCTGACTGATGATTCTCTCTAATCATTGATGTTTCTATTTTTCTCTCCATCTCCTTTCCTCTCTGAAATCAATAAAAAAAAATTTTTTTAAAAAGCATAGTCATTTTCTTTTTTTAAAAAAATATATTTTATTGATTTTGAGGCAGCTGGATGATTCTCTCTAATCATTGATGTTTCTATTTTTCTCTCCATCTCCTTTCCTCTCTGAAATCAATAAAAAAAAATTTTTTTTTAAAGCATAGTCATTTTCTTTTTTTAAAAAAATATATTTTATTGATTTTTTACAGAGAGGAAGGGAGAGAGATAGAGAGTCAGAAACATCAATGAGAGAGAAACATCTATCTGCTGCCTCCTGCACACCCCCCACTGGGGATGTGTCCACACCCAAGGTATATGCCCTTGGCCGGAATCGAACCTGGGACCTTTC